GTGTGTGTGTTTTAAAATTATATTTCAATAACTGTATTCCAATACAATTTGTTTCCTTTATAATCTTGTGTATTTATAATTTCATGTATTTGAAAATTTTATTCTGAGAAGAGGTCCATAGAGTTCACCAGACTGCCAGAGGGTTCCATGCTACAAAAATGGTTAAGAAGCCCTAAAATGGATGAACTCTTAGGTTCCTTCCAAGCTCAACACCTTTGAACAAATATACGTGCTGGTTTTAGAGTCAGGAAGGTCTGAATTTGAATTCATCCCCTGTTAATAACTACTTATATGACTGCAGGCAAGTCACTGCACTTCTTACAACCACAATTCCATTTGTTCAAATTTTGGTCATAGTTGGGGGTAAACAGGGATCCCAGGACTGGATTAAGGGGAGGGGGCTCAAATGAACTAGTGAATATGAATATCTTTTAAACAATATATAGTGATACTGACAAAGTGTGTGTGTGTGTGTGTGTGTGTGTGTGTGTGTGTGTGTGTGTGTGTGTATGAAAGCAGTTTGTGGAATACATATTTCTGGAATGGGATGTCATTAGTTATTTCTAGTAATAAGAAGTAGACATCAAATTGCTTAATAGCTGAGGCACTCTACTGAAACAGAAAGGAGAGTATAGTGAAATTTAAAGAAGTCGGAATTCAGAATGAAAGGCCCTGAGTTCAAACCAGGGATGTTGTTACAGTCAGATGAGGAAATGGATGTAAATAAAGCACTTTGTAAACCCTAAAGATCTATATAAATGCATGCTATTATTATTATGAACCTACATTCAGTAGGCCTCCACTCTGGTGATGACTTCATTCTGAGCAGCTATTTTCAGTGAAGTCAAATACATATGGACTTAGAAGACCACAAATTAACATTATCTATGTTGTATTGTATTTTTATTTATTTTGTTAAACATTTCCCAATTACATTTTATTCTGGTTCTGGCCTGTACTCTGGATTCTGAAAAAGGCTGGCAGTGAGTTTGATACCTCTGTCCTACTGGAGTCCAGCTGAGCTCCAGCAATATTTATAGAACAATACAAGGGTACAATGGTAAATGTTTAACAACCAGTTTGTATTGACATTATTAACACTCTCTTAAGTCTAGACAGCAGTAAAACAACAAATCGAGCCCTAATTTGTAGCAGTTGCTAATTTCTGAGGTGTAAATGGTCACACTGAAAATTTAAGTATCTACCCTTTCTTAGGAGTGCTCCAATGCGCCCCTGGTTCAAATCCTGGTCCTTTCTTTAAACTACACGTTATCTCCTGAGTGACCTTGGGCAAGTCACATGACTTTCCCACCACAATTTGTTCACTGGTGAGATGAGGTGGTTCAATTCTGACCTCCAAGTTTCCTTTCATTTGTAAATCTATGATAACATAATAACACCTTTAAAACTTCAGTTCTACTGGAAAAACCAAGAAAACAAGTTCACTTTCAATTCCTGAAATCTGTTATAGGGAACCAAGTGACCTTGGCTGGGCTTGGGCATCTAGCATGATGTTTGATTACAAGCCAGAAGAAAATCACTCAGATCTAGTCAGAGGAACTGTGTGTGTGACAGGCTAATGGCATTAACAGTTCCCCTTGTTAGTCTGAGACACATCCGTCAGTGGTTACTGGCACTGATCATTATGTCCTGTTTAGAAGAGAATGCATATCATAGAGGGAGCATAAATTAAAATAACATTGCCCGAGATGCCGCAAAGATTAGCTGAGTGCAAAAATCTCAGCTAGGAATGGTTCAGCTTTACTGAATTTAAAGCACAGTCTTCAGTAATTAAGCAATCGAAAACATGTAGTATTCTAAAAATAATGCTCTATGCCTGATCTAACCCATTACGACAACCATTGAAAGAGCAGCTTGCCAATAAATAAAGATCTCTGCTACACACACACACACGCACACACACACACACACACACACACACACAAGGATGAAATCCATTTTCTCTTGCTAAAAGACCTGTGGAATTATTTAAGTAGTTCTTTGCTCTGTCTTCCCTAAGTGCTAAAGAGACATAGGAACTTTTAATGTATCAGTCAAGCAATAAGCATTTATTAAGCACCTACTGCACACCTGACGTAGTGCTAGGCACAGGGGATACAAGACAACAATGAACCAGTAATTTTCCTCAAGGAACTTATATTCTACTAGAAGCATCATTAAGCATGTTTTCTGTAGTTGACTGATAACTAATGCTAATTAATATAGAAAATATGACCCTAACATGAATATTGGAAGAACATGGCTGTCATGGTAGGATGAGTTATCTGCCAAATCTAATGTTGGAAAATTACAAACACACAACACACATACATACATACTTACACACACACACACACACACACACACACACATATATACATACATATATATAGCATTCTTACTTGAATTTCTGATTACCCTAATTTTAAAAATCCAAACATCAAAAGCAGAAAACAGTCTCTATTTATAATGGTCTATTGTTGAGTAATCAGTTGACCCATTCTCTCTTAAGATATGTTGTATTGATTTAACACATTTTTGTGTTTATCTGTGCACAGGTGAAAATAGCTAGGATAATATTTAGATGGCACAGTGGATAGTGTATTGGACTTAGAGTCAGTAAGGCCTGGGTTTGAATCCTGACTCAAGTAATTATTAGCCAAGTGACCAAGTCATTTAAATCATTCTCAACTTCAGTTTCCCCATCTGTAGAATCGGGATAATAATAGCAACTACTTAACGGGGTTGTTGTAGGGATAAAATGAGATAATATATGTAAAGCACCTCATAAACCTTAAAGAATTATATAAATACAAGCTAGGAATTATTATTATGCTGCATTTCGCTTTAGAACGTTTAAGTGCCTTGAGGTCTAGGACTGTTTTCTTTTGTGTATAGTACTGGGGCAGCTAGGTGGCTTCTGACACTGGCTGTGTGACCCTGGACAAGTCACTTAACCCTGTTTGCCTCAGTTTCCTCATCTGGAAAATTAGATGGAGAAGAAAATGGCAAACCACTCCAGTATCTTGGTGAAGAAAACCCCAAATGGGGTCATGAAAAGTGGACATTACTGAAAACAACTGAACAACAACAGAACAACACCTTGTAGAGTTCCAAACACATATTACGCGCTTAAGTATTTTCTAGTTTAAATCTGAGCATACATCTATGATGGTTGCAACTTGTCCATTTACCTTGCCTTGTTTCCCTATGCAAGTTTTTATCTATGCTTTCTGGTAAACGCATTCCAGGCCTCATTTCTTTCCTTCATTTAAAAGTTTATCTGGGGGCAGCTGGATGGCACACTGGATAGGGCCCCAGCCCTGGAGTCAGAAGGATCTGAATTTAAATCTGGCCTCAGACTAGCTGTGTGCCGCTAAGCAAGTCACTTAACCACAATTGCCTGCAAAACCAAACAAAAAAAAATTACCAAAACAGAAAAGGTTTATCTGGGAGTGCACCGAAAGCTGGCTTGAACTCATCAGGAGAGTTCATTGTAAAAGTTTCAGTGTGAGCACTTCCACCCTGCAAATCACCAAAATCAAGGCTTAACTCCTTGTTTTGTTGGTTGTCAAGACTTGAGAAAGGGATGAAGAAAATATTAATATTACAGATTAAACTCAGAAGTGTGTCCTGTGTGTATTTTCTTTCAGAGAGACAGTTGTTAAACATTTACCAGCACACCCTGAACCTATCACTTATGTTTTCACTTTAAATTTTCCATTCCACCCACACTGTGAGTTAGTTCATCTGCCCTCACATTTGAATACTTTCAGGGGGTAGGGGAGAGGCTGATTGTGCTCAATTCAATGAAATTTGACAATCTTTTATCAAGTACCTACTGTGCTTCAGGCCTTTGGAAGGTGTTGGGGGTACCAAAACAAAAACTGAATGCTTCCAGCTCTCAGGAAACTTGTAATTCTACTTGTGCTGATTTAGTAATCCAGTATAGAATTCCTCACTTTTCCATTTTAATAATAATTTGAGCTATAAAATTCTTAGACAAGGAGTTCCATACCAAGTTACCCATTGTACAGAATTATATATAACTTTATTATCATTTTTATATTCTTTTCAGGTTTCCACGATTTTTCTCTTTTGCTTTACCATTTCAGATTTGTAATATTTTAAATGTTTTTTACTTCTGATCCTTCTAACTTCAGTTACACTCTACAGCATATTCAATAAATCATAAAACAAATGTCTGGAAAATGTACACTTTGTAAGGGTTCTAGGAGCTCTGTCTTGAAGGTGATAGAGTACCCAAGATAATGAAAAAAGGCTAAGATTTATTCAGCCTAGTGCCTGTGATAGCTAAGACCTTTGGAGAGCACACCGGTCTTATGCTAGGAATATTTTCTAACAGAGTATGACCCACAGAGGAGCTGGTTTAGAAAACTAGGAAAATTGCTCACTCATATTTTGTCTAGAAAGCCATATTTTAAAACCCCCTTTGACCTCAAAGGATATGAGTGGATCATTGATACCAGAAATTTCCCACACTAGTGAAATCACAGGTTGAGCACCCTCCGCCATAAAAATGTTTTCTGTATCTTCTTTATTTCTTTAAAAATACTAATATAAAAGGTGTGCTGGAAAGAACTTCAGTTAGATTTAGAGTCTGCGAATTCTGACTCCCATTGTGTGACCTTAGTAAAGTCACTAAACTTCTATAAAACTCAGTTTCTTTTTCTGTAAAATGAAATGTAGATGACCTCATAGGTCCCTTCCTGCTCTAAATCTATGATCTTAGCATCTCGAGGCTGAATCAATTGAATTATATATTTCATAGGGTCTATTGGGTTCTATTAAAGGAAAATGATTTTGAAGCAAGTGTGAATACTACAAAAATTTTCAATCATTGCTCAATAAGAAAATGGCCAGCAATAGGACAGGGATAAAGCTAATTCAGTTACAGAAAAGCTAAAGATACAAGAAAAGCTACTGGGAACAAAACTTCAAAAATATATTTATATTTTTCTTTGTTTTCTATATTCCAGATTCAAAACAATATGTGGGCAGGAAATGCAACGGGTGGCTCTGTGGTGACCTCCTGCATGTTGCCACGTGATACTTCCTCCTGCATGACACCATATTCTCACTCGCCTCGGACAGATTCCGGTTACACGGGATTTTCAAATCACCAGAACCAGTTTGGCCATGTTCCCCTCAACAATTTTTTCACTGACTCTCTCCTCTCTGGGGCCACCAATGGACATGCATTCGAAACAAAGCCAGAATTTGAAAGGAGGTCTTCCAGCATTGCCGTCCTTCGAATGAAGGCCAAAGAGCACACCGCCAATATTTCATGGGCCATGTAATATACAGTACACCTTTATTTTTCTTTTCATAGCAAAGCAAAAAAAAAAAATCCATTCTTCTTTCTCATATTTAAAGGATGCAACAGTAAGCTGCTGTGTGGGGGGAGATTGTGAAAGGTCAGGCTAGACGGGGAGGCCAGCTTACAATGAATACTAATATTATTTAACAATAAAATCTAAGAATGAATCTGTAGAGGGACTAAATCGGTTTACCATGCACAGATCTCAACCAACCCTGTTTAGTGGTAAAGCCTTTTCTATTGTACCAGTCGATGAAATATGATCATAAAACCTGCTAAAAGAATAAATGTATTAAACAAATACCTTTGCTAGAGATTGATTTATGTGACTGCTTCATACCAAGGAATTCCCTATAAATTAATACCTGATCAGGAGGAGGAAATCCACTGGGGAAAATTTCAGTGTAGCAAGTAAATACTGAAGTAAGGTGTTTGGGGAACTGAGTACATGTCTCCTTTCCTGGTTCCACATCCCAGTGGGCATAACTCCTCCTTGCTGGCACTTTGATATTCAGATTTTCAAAGAGGCTTTTAGATCTCTCTGTTTTAGGACCTTTCTACTGTATGAAGAATTACTACTCAAAAATGAGCAACATTTGAGATTTGGGGTCAGCTGTATGAACCTATGCGGTCAAGGGTGATAACTGAAATATGCTGGTACTGAATTCATATACAATTTAAAGGCTAATTTTTCTAAATGCCATCTTTCTGTGGACCTAGTGGTTGGATTACTTCAAATAGAGAAAAAAAAAGCCTACCTGATTAGGGATTTCAAATAAATAAATAGCACAAATGAGAAAATCAACCTTTTTTATTAAAGTGGTTTATAGTCAATGCCCTGTGTCTAGTTAATGGAATATATGTATACATATACGAATGTATGTATATATGCACATATTTGCACACGTATATACATACATATCTGTATGTTTCCTCTTGGATTTCTCCTACCTTTGGCCCGTAAGCCACCATTCTTTCACATAAGGAATGAAAATGTCCAAAAAGACTTACTCGAATTCCTGTTGGGGGAAAAAAAAGGAAGAAAAATAACTTTGCATCTGGAAAATTGCTAACTCCTTTGATTTACTTCTCCTCCCTTTCCCCTGTCACATTCCAAGCTCCTTCAGATGAGTGAAATGTCAGCCTCCTTGAAAGTAACAGTCTCCCAAGTTCATAAAGGCAAAGTAAATTAATTGAAGAGGACTTCGGTGGCTGTGATTAGCACAGGATACAGCTTTCTGTGTGTCCCGTGAATTGTCTTGCTAATTTTACTAGCTTTGAGGGGCATGGGGGTGGGGTGGGGAAGGGAGGAAAGGGAAAGAGCCCTTTTCCTTCTGATAGGACACGAAGAAATAAAATTAGAAAGATTAAATTCCAGAGAAATGATATTTTAGTCCTATAAGTATCCCCTCTTCACTAGGAAAATATTTATAATAAACAGACATGACTTTTTGTAATAAAATTTTAAATCAAACAGATGATCGAGATGAAGGACATCCTAAAGCAACGTGCCCTGACTTCATAATAAACTTTTGTCTTTATTGCTCTGGGTGCTCATGCTTTCTTCTCTGTGTTACCCCAAAATGAACTTCTTAACTTTTGCCCTGGGAATCAAGAGTAAGAAAATCTTTTCTCATGTCTAACTTTTTTTTTTCCAAGGCTGTCTTTAGGATGTTTTGTGATTTAAAAGAAAGTTTTTTTGTTCTTCTGGGTACGTGGTTAGAGAAAATGTGATAAAGCATTACTCTAGAAATTGAGCTGAACTGAGAACTTTTGGAATTTTTTTTAAAGGCCGAACTTTTCTCAGATGAAAACAGTTTTCAGTTGCCTCAACCCTCCAGCTTAAAATTTGCTAGAAAAAACTAAATACCCTAAAATACTTTGCCTGTGTTTATCATTCCCTTTTAATTCTTGAGTTCCCTCAAACTCTAGCCTTTGGCTAATGAAAATCTACAAAGCAAATTTCGTATGGTTAATGACAGCAAAAAAAGAGTTTTAGTTAAGATCTTACTAGCCCAGAAATGATGTACCTTCCTTCCATATGTTTATTATTCTTACAATGTTGGGAAAGGAAATATTTCAGTCCAGTTCACCACTTGCTTCTTTAATGATCTTATTCCTGACTTTCTTCAGCAATATTTTCTTCACTTTAAAAAGTTGATTTACATACTCCTTTTCCTATCATTTTGGTTCACATTTGGACTATGTGATGAGACATAAATTAATGGTCAATGGGGGCAAGGATTCCAGTTTGCCTCAAAAAAAAAATAAAGTGAAATATTGTTACAGACCTCGTTTGTGAGTTATTTGAGAGTATGATTATTGCCTTTTTTTAACAGCGGGTGCATTTTTTTTCACTAATTCCATAAGAAAGTAAAAACAGAAAAAAAGAAACCTTACTGGGATCCTGGTCTTCACTATTCACCCCTTATCTTACAAGGATGATAAAGTTATTTAACCCTTATAACACTGAGAAACTCATGCAATTGTGCATATAAATTGCATAAACATATTAATTCCTAGCTTTTCATCTTGCCTGACCTCTGTCAAATTGCTGATCCTTCTATGTCTGAAGAAAAAAAAAAGACTCCTTTCTTCACATCAGCCTATCGTTAAAAGAGCACAACAGCCATTTATACTTTTCTTCTCTCACACTTTCCCCTGGCTTTTCCTGCCTTCGGCTATACACAATCCTTCCCACCACTCAGTCAGATTGTAGTCTCACAACAAAGGTGTGCTGTCTTCAAGTTTTTGGGAGAGAACAAGATTGTAATACAATCTGCCTGTGAGATTGTGTATAGAACTGAAATCTAGCAAATGATTTCTTATAATTCAGGAATGAAATTGCATAGGCTTTATACCTTGCAATCTCTCTTCTATGCAGCATTAGACATAATATATGCTAAGGTTAGGCATAGTCATATTATAGGGTAGTAGATTCAGTGCCAGAAGGGACCTCTGAGGTCCTGTCATCTGGTCCAGTCATTTTATAGATGAGGGGACTGAGTCCCAAGAAGGTGAAATGTCTTACCCAAAGATACACAGGTAATAATAATAATAATAATAATGGTTATTTGGGATGTATCAATTACTTTTAAAAAATATAGAAAGGTTCTTTATTTGTAAGTAAAGTTGGAGATCATGATTTAAAGTCGGAAAGGACACTGGACCTCCTCTAGTCCAGTGGTATCAAACACAAATAGAAAGTGGATCACTAAGCCATAGATAAAACTACATATTGACTTAGAAAATGGCAAGTTAACATTATCTACATTGTGTTATATTTTTTATTTTGTTTGTTAAACATTTCCTAATTACATTTTATTCTGGTTGGGGTGTACTGCAGAGTTTGTCGGCTATGACAATGAGTCTGATATCTCTGTGTCTAGTCCAACCCTGTTATTTTATAGATGAGGAAACTGAGACTTGGAATGATTGAAGGAACTTTCCCAAGGCTGCTCAGGTAGTAAGTAGAGGAGCTGGGGGATTTGCACAAAATAATAAGCAAGATCATTTAAAGGAAGTGACTTCTTAAAGGGGATTCACAGGCATTCCCTAAATCAAACCTACAATTCATAGCCCAACAATTCACATACTGCCTCTGCAAGGTAGTGTCAAAGGTTTTCTGGCCCAGTAGATAGTCTGTTGGAGTTGGAGATTGGAAATCCTGGGTTCAAATGTTGCCTTTAACACTTATCAGCTGTGGGACTCCCTTACTCTTCCTCCCACACAACACTCCATCTCTTGTCTCCCATCCCTGGCATGCTCCTGACGTTTACCTCTCAGATTCCCTGGTTTCTTTCAAGTCTCAGCTCAAATCTGACATTTTGCAGGAGGCCTTTCCTGATTCCCCCAGCTTATAGTGCCTTCCTCATAAGATAAACCTTCCATCTACTTTTTACCTATCTTGTAGAAGGTGTTCCAAAAGTTTTTGTGAAGTCAAACCGCACACGCAGTATGTAACCAGCTACTTACTTGTTATCTGCCCCATTAGAATGTGAGTTTCTCAAGAGCAATTTTACCTTTCTTTGTATATTCCAGAGGTGAGGCCACGTGGCCTCAAGGCCTCAGGTTCCCTGTCCCTGGACTATACCCATAACTTATTACAGTGTTTGGCACTAGGTAAGTGCTTAATAAATGTTTTTTGATTGATTGAACTTGGGCAAGTCAATGACCTTTTCTGAAGCCCAGTTTCCTTATCTGCAACATGGGAAGAATATTAACTCAAAAAATTGTTGAGAGGCTCAAAAAAGATGGTGTATGTAAAAAGGCTTTGCAAACATTAAAGTGCTTTATAACTACACATTTTTATTCTTTTTGATTTCAGTAAGAGATTTTAAAACAAATAACTTTATGTGACCATTTCTCATCTAGTCTATTTTCTCCCAAGCTTTTGGTCATGGCTTCAGGCAGGGACAAATTGTATCTCTCGACTTGCTAATTAATCCAGGGGAGAGAGTTCTTATACCCCTTCTTGCCATGGAATGGTATATAATCTCAACAAACCAAAGTCTGGGGCATAGTTGGACAGATAGGTTGATATTTTCTCTCAAAAATGCTTTACATTTTATATCCTGACTTGAGAGGGACATTCAGTATACTCATTTTGGCATACATTTCCCATAATTTGTAGTTCAGATATTTTCTTCTAACCCTATGCACATGTGACAAATTGTTAAGATTTAAAAAAAAATCATCCAGAGGGTCAGCAAAAATTTTCACCCAAAATCAAGCTCTCCAAATCATTGGAATAGGAAGTTAGCTACCTAGGAGTTGCATGCATGGAGTTATGCCAGTTCTGTCTGGCCAAAAATATCTTTTGCACTAGCTTGTAATCATCCCTGAAGCTCCCTCCATTAAACACATTCCTGTGGATTGGAAGATTCCTTCCAGAAGGTCCTTATGAAAATGAAAATAGATAACTAACTATCTAATAAGTTAGTGGTTAAGACAGGGGGCTCTGCGAACTTTTAAAGAATGTTTTATAGCTATATTTCAATATGATTGGTTTTCCTTTTTAATCCTATGTGTTTTATTTTATTTGTACGAAAACATGATATGGTACAGGGGTGTATAGACCTCAACAGGCTGCCAGAGAAGTCTAGGATACACACCAAACACACACACACACACACACACACACACACACACACACAGAGTTAAGAATACTTGGACTAGGGATTAATATGTCAGATCAGATTGATTACATTAAAGGCAAAAGAAAGAACACTGGCTTTTGCAGTCAGAAGAATATGAGTTCAAATCCAGTCTCAGATGCTTACTAGCTATATGATTCTGGGCAAATCATTTAACTTCTCTCAGGCTGCATTTCTTCATCTCTAAAAATGCAGGATATAATAGCACCCACATCACAGAGCTGTGAAGTTCAGATGAAATAATACACAGAGTGCTTTGCACACCTTAAAGTGCATTGTGGACATGAGCTGGAATGCTGAATTCTGAACAGAGCTAGTCAGCCAGTTGGGCAGGAGCATAGAGTATGTGAAGAGGAGTAATATGACAGCCAGCTGCAGTCGGACTGTGGAAAGTGTAGTCTGCCATAAAGCAGAACCTCAATGACATGGTGCATAGCACCAGTCAAATTTGATGGGGAAAAGTTGCTATCTAAGAAGGGCAGGTGTGAATAGAGCATCAAACTGGGGTCTCTTAGTCTATCAAAAGGCAATAGGAGCAAAGTGGGATCTAGGAAAAATGATTGAGATTAGGGAATACAGAAGAAATGAAAAATGCGCCCAAATTTGAGCACACATGAAGACAAATGGCATAGGATTATAGATTTAGAACTGGAAGGACATTTACAGGTCATCCTATCTGACCCCAATCTTTTACTGATGGTCAGAGAAGATAAGTGACTTGCCCAGGGTCACACAGCTATTACATGAAGGGAGATTTAAACCCTTAGGTCTTCCTTACTTAAAGCCCAATACTCTATCTATCATAACATGGTGAGGTTCAGTTTCACCCCCTTCATAATTTTGCCCAGAACAAGAATGATTAAAAGGCTCTGAATTGTCATACCATTGCGTCTTTATTTCTCATTTCTTCAGTTAATTTTCCCCGCTTTGCTCTAGTCCAGGGGTGCGGAACCTGGGGCCTCTAGGCCACATGTGGCCCTCTAGGTCCTCAAGTGCAGCCCTTAACCCTGCTGGTCTTTTCTGCTTTGTTTACCAATCACCACCATGAAACATAACTAATCTTTAACTTCTCTTTCTCTGAAGGAGAC